ATCTGATACACTTCATTCCCACCACGAGGTGACACTTCTGTTCAAGATGCTCTTGTGGAAATTGAGTTAGAGGAAAAGTTGATACAGTTACAAACTCAAATTTCTGGCCAATGTAAGTACAATGTTTTAACAGTGTCAGTTCACAATATTATTAGTTACCCTTATGAAAATTAACCATGGTGTTACTACAAATAAAACCATGGTAACCATAAATTAACCATGGTTTTGCTGCACTAAACATAGTTTAACCATGATATTTGTAGTAAAACTTTTATACAAATGGTAATGAATATGCCAAATAATAAAAAAAACTTGGTTACTACACTTTTACTATACTAAAACAATGGTTAATTTTTGTAAGGGTAACTTCAAGAACAACGGTACAGCATTCAAGTGTGCTAAGATTGTCAATGTTTATTGAATGGAAAACTCATTGCTAATACTTAAATCACTCATATCACTAGCAATTAAATGCCAATTACAGTTGCACATATGACCCATGTTAGTTTTTAGAATATGTTGTGCATTTAGGGATCAACATTACTCTATTGTTAGTAATATAAGATATAACGTCCTTATATATTATTACTATATTATCCTTATATTTGGACCCAATACAGTAATGCAAGTTTATACTATACATGACATTTTTGGAGTCAGGATTATTTAAGTGAGTAATTATGTTTTGCTTATGCCAGATGCCCAAGAAACCAGCAGTCGACAGGGATTTTATTTTCACAGTCCTGTGTTCATCAAAAGAGGCCATAGTCAAAAATGGCAACATAGCTACTCCTAATCAGAACATCTGGACAGAGCTTAGTAAGCAGCTAGAGAACAAGATCACCGCAAAGGCTCTATACACTTTTGTTAAATTAAACCGACACAACATCTGGACTGCTTTAGGGTTTACTCATGAAAGTGATAATGAAACAAGTGGCAGTAGTGATGACACTGATTTTGAGCCAGGGTCCCTTTACAATTTTGAAGCCTGGCATCTGGACGCATGTGATAAATCATCACATTTGGTAAGAAGTGAAAAGCCTCTGCACATCTGCCTTTAAAAGAGCCAAGGTCTATCCATCAGCCACAGAGAAATATATAGAAATCAGAGGCAAGTGTAAGAAGTGTCATGGCCACATTCACATAAAATGTGACAGAGAGCCTGAAATGAACAGCCCAATGGTGCTAAAGTGTTTAATTAAGAACACAGATGACTCCCTGCACACTGGCTATTCCAAGTGTCCGATGTATGGTAACTTGCGTGTGCAGATATTCAAAGAACTGTGTGAGGGTAGAATGGAACCCATGTATGGAGGGCATCGGAGGCAACAAAGCTGATGGATTTTGGAGATCCAGAATCTGCCTAATTTGGCCACCCTGCGCAAAGCAAAGCAAGAGAGAAATGCCTTAGCATTAAAGACACTGGATTGGACAAGTCTGGCCATGTCTTCTTATATCAGGGCGTTCTGGCAGGTAATGAGAGCTCAAGTGTCCCAGTCGTGCAAATGCTGTCAGAGAGACATGATGTTAATGCAATAACACATTGGCTGACAGAATGGATACGTGCAGGTGCACCAACTCCAAAAGAGGTTGTAAGTGACTTTTCACTGGCTTTGCTCAAAGCTTTGGTCAAAGCTTTTACTCCTCATCCTGATCTGAAGACCTACATTAATGTGTGTTGTGGCGTCTTACTTGGTAATCAGTCTGCAAAAGTGCCACCTTGTTTTGTTCGGGTTGATGTTGCACACTGCATCAAGATGATCTGCCAGTGGGACTGCTTGAAGAAAAAAGCAAATCACATTAAAGATTTCTTTGTGAGGTCAATGGCACAGCTTCTAAAGTCACAATCCATGGACGATGCTAGAGAGCTACTACGCAGCATTACTGTTGTGGCTCTCAGTGAAACAGAGGGCAATGACAGTTCTGGAGTCCCCCTCATATCAGAAAGGTGCAAGAAATATCTGAAAGCCCGAATTGCAGAAGAGTGTATCATCATTCCAGATGTAGAGGGTGAGGACCTGGAAAAAGCAGATCAAACGCAGTGGGTGGGTGACCAAACGCAGACAGACCTATGGCAGTGGGTGACAGAAATATGTGAGGAAAGCAAGTACCTTGCTGTGGCTAATGGAGATCATGATATGCACTTCCTCCCTGAGATTATTCCCAATATAATCTGGCTGGCAAGCTACTTACCACTCTGGACAGGGGTAATGATCCCTCACTTCCGAAGCACCAATATCATCGCAAGTTCAGCCAATGTTGAAGCAGAGTTCAAAAACATTAAATGTGACCTTTTCAAGCATGAAAACTTGCCGATTCGAGTGGATCGTTTCATTGCTCGACATCTGTCCTTCATTGAAGGCAACATGCGCATTTGTTCTGCAAAACAAAAAAGTAAAGAAAAAGGTGAAGAAGATGCAGCTGTTGCAACAGTGATCATCAAAGAAGTCAATCCTCTACCAACCATAACTTGCAGTGTAGGTGTAAAACCAGAAATGGATGCTTCCTGTTCTGGGAAGTCTGACATTGTCACAAACATCCATCCAACAGATGAAGACCCTGTTGAAAACTGGAGAGACCTAGCTCTTCCACCCAAAAAGAGAAAGAGGAATTCATACCTCTCTCCTTGTCCTGAATGGCTCCATGCAGATCCATCTGAGAGGGGAAAAAGACTGAAAGTGGAACTGTTGAAAAATGGAAATAATCAACAGCCTGTTAAACTCAGGAAATCAAGAATCTCTGTGCTGAACACATGTGCATTTGATGCTTTTTGTCAATGCTTATGTTGTGCTTTCTGTGATAGTGTCACCTTTGCAAATTTTGTTTGTGGTGAGGACTTCAACAACCTCCTCCATCTAGTGAAAACCATCACCACAAAGGGTCTGAATGCACAGGCCTACATACAGTGGGCAGAGCTGCTGAGTGGAATATTCAAACCTGTCCAACTGAAGTCTTGTGCTCTCCAAATCGACGCACAGTGCCACATCTCCACTCTCATTGCCAAATCAGTGACAAAACATGCATGCGTTTACTTAACAAAACAGTGCTCCTCACAGTATTGCAGTCACAGCACACAAGTCACAAGGGAAATACCATTTGTTTGTACTTCTGTTGCTGTATTGCAGGCTTCTGGCATCGCTTATCTTCAGACCGCAGTGGAAGAAGGCCTTAACCTTCCGGAGTCCCCCTGTCTCAGGCCAATCCAAAGTCCATCACAGTGTCCCTCTGCATTCAAGACAGACTCTACATCAGGAAAAGTGCTCTGTGCAGGGAAAGTTTCTCACAGTTACAGTCTGGGAGAACGTCTGTGGATTGACACTGACCTGGGAAGCAACTCCATAGAATTTCCTTTGAGTGAATTTCCCTCCAATCTGATGCTCCAAGGAGAGAGATTTACTTTAAGGGCAGTCATTGCTTTCAAAGGAGGCTTAATCCAGGATGCTCTTGGACATTATGTGGCCTACTGCAGGAGGTCTCCATGTGTCTGGGAGATGTATGACGACCTGAGAAGTGGAGTGTCAGAAAAAAACAAAATATGCCCACATGCAGTGCTATACACAAGAGATTGATTGCACTGTTTACATGTAATCTCACAAGTATTTTTGTTGTAAGCCACACACCCATGTTTTCCTACTCCTGTTTGGAGAAGTTGTTTCTGCTCTTCTGGAAGTCAGACTTGATGGAGTTTGCACTTAAATCTATTATTCTGTGTGGCACTTTTGGTTTGAAGGCAGACAGTGTGGCATGGCTTGTCAGTATTAAGCATTTTTAAGTTTAAGTTTTTAAAGGTCCGTTAGACTATTTTGGGTGAGTTTGGAGCGTGTAGGGGGGCTGGTGACCTCATCACCTAAAATATAATGTTTCATATTTTAAAAACTGAAGCTGCACAAACGGAAATTGTTACGACACAAACCAGCACAAATGAAGCACTAACGATTGAGACTATTTTGGGTGAATTTGGAGCGTGTTGGGGGGCTAGTGACGTCATTGCCATTAATGTAATGTCTAATATTTTAAAAACCAAAGCAGCACAAACTAAACTTTTACCTGCACAAACCAGCACAAACGAAGCACAAACAAACAAGACTATTTGGGGTGAATTTGGAGCATGTGGGGGGGCTGAGTGACCTCAGAAAAACAACATTAAATATTATTTTAATATCTTAAAAAAAAAATTTGTTTTCATTTCATTCTTTTTTTATGGCAAAAACCAGCACAAACGGATCACAAACAAACACAGGTATTTGGGGTAAATTTGGAGCGTGTGGGGGGCTGGTGACGTCATCAACCCTAAAATTCAATGTCTAATATTTAAAAAACTGAAGCAGCACAATCGAAAATTGTTACGGCACAAACCAGCACAAACGAAGCACTAATGATTGAGACTATTTTGGGTGAGTTTGGAGCGTGTAGACGTCATCGCCTAAAATATAATGTTTAATATTTTAAAAAACAAAGTAGCACAAACAAAATTTTTACGAGCACAAACGAAGCACAAATGAACGAGACTATTTCGGGTGAATTTGGAGAATGTGGGGGCTGAGTGACCTGAGAATGACCATTAAATAAATATTTTATATCTAACAAACCAAAGCAGCACAAACTAAAATGTTTACAGCACAAACCAGCACAAACGGAGCACAAACGATTGAGACTATTTTTGCGATGTTTTGCGTTGGGTGGGGGGCCAACTTCACAGAGGTTTTAAAGTTCTCTTTTTGTTTGATATTCAGTTCTCAGTTTTTGCTTTGCAAAGAAGTTAGTTAATTTGTACAAGGAACAAAATATAATTCACTTTAGGGATTTATATTGTTTAGGTAATTTCTAGGACAACTGATCAGCTGAATGTTACATTTTCACACGTGTTCTAGACTCTCTAACTGCAGTATCACTGAAGAAGGTTATAAAGCTCTGGCTTCAGCTCTGAGATCAAACCCTTCACACCTGATAGAGCTGGATCTCACAGGAAATGATCCTGGACAATCAGGAGTGAACCAGCTCAGTGATTTACAACAGTATCAAAACTGTCGACTGAAGACACTGAGGTGAGACATGATGAAATAACACAAAATAAATATATGATGTGCAGGCTTAAATTATTTTAGCTATACAAAAATCTGGACCATTTGTTGCATCAGAAAGATCAGATCAGATGCTGCAGGTTCTGTTGTTCTGATTATGACTGTCACCACAGTTTAGTTGTGTTGTTATTCTGGAATATGGTGTACCTTGATAATTAATATGCACATTATTGTTTTTATGGACACGTCTCATGACTTTGTCAAATTCTTTGAATGTTTCTGAACACACTGTAGTTTAATTTCCATCAAGCTCAGATTAATCTCTATGACTATATCTCTACAGCAGGTCTGTGAGTCTCCAGATGATCACAAACATTGTTTCACAAGCCATTTTTCTCTGTGATGACATTTCTCACTCCTGCTTAAAAGCCAGAAAAATCTTGAGACTTTTAATTTTACTCACTGTATTCAGACGGATAATCATGATCTACTGAGATTTCGCTCTTGTGCTCTGTGGGACGTTGCTTTGCAATCTTATCAGTTGTAATGCAATTGGCCATTGTTCAGCACTGATTTGAATCCTACTTTATCTTCTCTTCTGCAGGTTTTTGGGTCCTGCTGCAGATGAAGCCTGTCAGTATGTGACTGGAATTGTGGGTAAAAACCTGTTACTCCTGAGAGAGCTGAATCTGAGTAAACGTAAACTAGGAGACACACAAGTTAACCAGATTGCTGCTCTATTGCAGGATAAACACTATACACTCAAGACACTGATGTGAGTATTGTTAGTTTATTTAAAATGTAACTTTACTTTTAATAATGTTACTGTAGTTGATAACATTTCCTCATTTGTTTGAGTCAGAGCAGATTTTTTCTTGGCTCATATCTATACTCATATCGGGTATCGGGTTCGATACTGTCATTCTTTGCCGGATCGAGTATCGGTCAGACAGTGCCGATCCAAATCCGATATTGTGTGTACTGTGTTACTGTTAAGCCGCACAAAAGACATAAAAGCATTATAAAGCACAATAAGGTTTTCATGCACTATTTTTCCAAGTCTTCTGACGCCATATGATAGCTTAAAGGATTAGTTCACTTCTGAATTAAAATTTCCTCAATTTCCTCACCCCCATGTCATCCAAGATGTTAATGTTTTTCTTTCTTCAGTCAAAAAGAAATTAAATTTTTTGAAGAAAACATTCCAGGGTTTTTCTCTATATACTGGACTTCAGTGGGGTTCACTGGGTGGAAGGTCCAAATTGCAGCTTCAAAGCTTTCTACACGATCCCAGACGAGGAAGAACGAGGAATCAGGAGCCCTCCCTGGGCTTAACTGGGGGTCAGGAGCCCTCCCTGGGCTTAACGAGGAATCAGGAGCCCTCCCTGGGCTTAGCTGGGGGGTTAGGAGCCCTCCCTGGGCTTAACGAGGACTCAGGGAAGCACTTACGAGGTGCTGGCACTGGCGGGCGCTCATGAGGAGCAGGTACAGCAAGGCGCTTTCGATGAGCTGGCACTGGAGTGAGCTTTGGGGCTGGCAGGCTTGACTGAGGAACCGCCGGCGGGCTTGCCACAGGCGTGACCGGCGGGCTCGCCTCGGGAACGGCCGGCTGGCTCGACTCGGGAACGGCCGGCAGGCTCGACTCGGGAACGGCCGGCAGGTTCGACTCGGGAATGGCCGTCAGATGGGACCCGGCTCAGGATCGGAGGCTCTCCAAACACCGGATGACTGCTTCCTTCCAGCCGGGGTTGGTGGTGTCTGGGAGCTCCGCGAGGCGATGGTATGTCATCCCGATCCAGAACAGCATTACAATTTCCCCCTCGAGGGAGCTGGCGAGGGCGAGCGGCACGAACGCCCTCACGAAGACGATCGAGAAGACACCTGGGAACAATACAAACTAAACGGGGTACACCTGGACTCAAATAATAACCAATTCACACAACGAGGACAGGAACAGGAAAGACCAAATAAGGAAAACAGGAACTCAACGGGAACATACACGTGACACACAGTAACTGAAATTTAAAATTGTTAAAAGGCTCAACTGTTGCACAGATATAATACACTACACATCAATATGTCTTACCTTTGTGCTTTGAACTTTTTAATGTCATTGTAAGGTAATTTTAAAAATCTGTGATCAGTATCTGCCTCAGATGTCCTGGTCGGTGCGAGCTGGCTTTGTCACCGACTTGTAATTGTTTAGTCTACAATATGTTTGAACATTGATCTGTGAGACTAAAGTGATGTATGGCAATAGTGAGTAGACAGTAACAATTTCATTTGTTAACATTAGCTAACATGGACTAATCATGTACAATATTGTAGTAGCCCGGTTGAATTGAAGAAAATCGACTCCTCCACTGATGTCTGTGTATGGCTCTTTGTGTTTATTTTTTTTCCTTTGTATCCACAATACCACAACACCACACCATAAGAGCTAAAACAAATAAATGAAAACATAAATATATACAAAAATATATGAGAATTACAAACTACAACTAATATTTAACATAAACAGCATACAGTTACTCAAATTTAACCAAAACTTGTATAAACAAGCATAAAGGCAAAAATTATTTTTATTTACAAAATAGACATATTACGTAATATGCAAAGATATTTAACTGACCTTGTGCCTCTTTCAACCAGGTACAGTAAAAGTAAAAGACAAAAATACAAGAATAACAAAAATAAAACAACAACTATTAACCTTTGTTCGTTAAATTACTTTAAAATGCCTTGAAACCTTAAGTCCTTAAACCTTAATGCTTTAATTTTACTCCGTTGCACAATGACCACATGGTTTCTTATCTCCATCCATGTGCGATTGAGACGACAGCACGACTTCCGTGCAGGTCCGGCAAGCCGCCCTTTCATACTAAAGGTCTCTATAGGAACAGTAACTTAACGCGGGCAAATTGATTTCTAAATTAAATAGACACATAATCATTATCAACTGAATACAGAAATATAACAAGCAATATTATAATGATATACTAAACCCCAAACAAATAAATAACCGAGGGTCATTTACACTCCCACCAAATCATAAGTGACTATAAATATCAACTTTAGTCACAAATTATTTTATTAAACGGTAATAATTTTAATTTTATTAATTTTGAGTACCTATAGAGTAGTAGTGCATCCTTCATATCTCCAAAAAGAAAAAGCCGAGCTCCTGGAGGCGCGCAATAGGCGGAGCTAAAGTGACGAGCACTTTAGTGCGAATGCCAACAAAACAGACATTTGATGCTATTTCACTTACCATCTGCAGTTCAGAATCATGACCGGGATCTTTTATAGCTGGGACCGCTCCATCTTTCAGTATCAAACGATGTGCAAATCCAGCGTCGAACTGGGCCTTGTTTATAAAACGCTCGTCAACAAACACACTTGTGAAACTCCGTTGCTGCCTCGGAAAAACAAACTGTATCCACTGTTTACATTACGCTGGGTTCTTTAGGAAGCTTAACAAAGTTATCT